CAGACGCTGGATCCCCTTCTTCTGGGTCATCAATGACAAAGCACTCCCCGAAGTCACAGAACAGTTGCCTAGAGAGGACCGATGGGGTTTTGCCAGACAAAGTGCCTCACCAAGCTGCCCCAGCACTGCCATGTCCTGCCCAGGCCGTGCAGCCCCACCAGTGTACTGGGGACATGGGCTGCAGTGCAGAGCTGGGGACTCTGGGGAAAAGGTGACCCACCCAGTGCAGGACCCCATAAGTCGCCTCACCCTGCCAGCCCTTTGGTGTCAGCCACGATGAAGGAGATGCCCTGGGCATGGCAGAAGTCCCCGACGCGGAGCTGCTCCTCCAGCGGGGACTCAGTCAGCACCACCACCTGTGCCAGGTCTGTCAGTGAGTGCTGCCATCCCGGGACTCCCCATGGCACAGGGATGCAGGCTTACCTGGAAGGAGGCAAGGAAGGCCTCCGACAGCTCCCCGCTGTGAGTTTCGACCACCACATGGGGGTTCAGCTCAGCCAGGGCCCGCTCGGATACCTTGGCACGGTTTTGGCCTAGATCACTCTCCCCCAGGAGGAACTGCAGAGTAGACACATGGTGGGGCACCCTCTGGGTCTGGGGTGCAGCTCACCACTGTGGGGTGCTCCACAGGGTTTTCTGCACTGGTGAGGAGGCCTCTGCTAAGGATTTCACCTGAGACAATGAAGGGCACCCTGTGCCTTACCAGCATCCCCAGCTTGTACTTGTTATTGGAAGCCACTCACCCCTAACAGATACCAGCAAACCGGGATTCTCCCAACTGCAACTGCACCTATTACTGTGACATCCACCCACATCAATACCTGCTACTGAGATTCCCACCTGAGTCTGCACCTGTACCAAGATCCTTGTCTGTACCTGTATATGTTATGGGGCCTTCCCATCCATACCCGTACCTGTTACTGGGATTGCTGTCTGCACCCATTATGGGGATCCCCATCCATACTCGTACCTGGTACTGGGACCCCCACATGAGTCTGTACCCATTACCGGGACCCTTATCAATACCTACACACATTCTCATCCATACCTGTACGCTAGAACCTGCGCTCATACCCATACTCATTACTGGGACACTCGCCCATACCTCTACCTGTTACTGGGACCCCTGTCGGCACCTATTATCAGAATCCCCACTCATATCTGTACCCAAACCGGCATTCTCACTAGTTCCTGTTATGAGATCCTCGTCTGTACCTGTTACAGTGAACTTCACCCGTACCTGTCACCAGGAGCCCCGCCCGACCCGGCCGGTACCTGGTGGGTGCGGTCGGCCGTACAGGCGGCATCGCAATCGTGCAGGACGACGCGCCCGGTCCCCGCCAGCACCAGCGCCGTCGCCACCTGCGCTCCGGTCCCGCGCAGCCCCGACACCAGCACCGCCGACTCGGGCAGCCGCCGCGCGCCGCCGCCCAGCACGTACCTGCGGGTATCGGCGGGGGCCGTCAGCGGGGACCGGCACCGCTGCCCCGTGCCCTGCCCTGCTCCGATCCTGTGGCGCTCCCGTCCCCGGTGCCGGTCCCCGCACTCACAACTGCCGCGAGTACCGCGCCTCCTCTTCGCTTCCCGCCATGACGGCCGTGCCCACCGCCGGGACACGCCGGCCCGCCCCAGGGAGGAGCCAATCCCGCGAGGCCGCGCACCCACAGCGCAGGCTCGGCGGCGGGCACAGGCCAGGCCGCGCCCCCTAAACCGGCGCCCCCGAGGCCACGCCCCCACAGCGCAGGAGGCAGGGGAGGCCCCGCCCCCCGGGCCGCTCTGTGGCGGCGGTGAGAGCGGGCTGGCGAGGAGAAGCTCCGCCCCCTCCGGCAGCCTCGCCCCCGGTACCCCGCGGCCATGGCGGCGGTGGCGGCGGGCTGGCAGCCGCCGTGGCGGACGCTGGCCGCTCTCGGCCGGGAGCTGGCGGCCGAGTGGGCGGCACAGGACGTGCGGGCCGTGCTGTGCCAGCTGCTGCTGCTCTGGCTGGGCATCAGCCTGCTGGGCGTCCGCCTGGCCTGGCGCGCCTACGGCGGGGCGGTGGCCGCGCTCTGCTACCGGACCGGCCCCGCCGGCCGCCGCTCCCCCGCCACCGCTTCCGGGGCCTCACCCTCCCGGCCCCGCGCGCACTCCCTGTCCCCCGCCAGCCCGGCGGGACGCAACGGCGCCGCCGAGCGGCACTGCCCGCCCCGGTGAGTCCCGACTGCTACCGGGCCCAAAACCGCTGATATCCCCCGCTCATCCCCCGCGGTCCTGCCTGGCTTCCCCGGCGTCCGGCCAGCGCTCTCGGAACGCAGCCCGGTGAGCGACCCCTGCCCAGTGCCCACAGCGAGTGTCCCCCCAGCTGGACCCCTGCACCAGTACAGTCCAGTGACTGCCCATTTGCCCAGTATGGTCCAGATGGGGCCTCTAGGACATCGGTCCTGGTTAGCCCCCCCCCAGCTGTGGCTTCTGACCAGTGTCCCCCAAGCTGTGCCCCCCGACCTTTGAGTCCCCCTCCACAACTGCACCCCAGACCAGTATGCCCCAATAAGTGCCCCTCAGCCCTGCCCACCCCACACAGACAGGCAGGTGCCTGCCTCAGTGCCGGGGTGCCGTGCTCGGTGCTGCCCCAGCCATGCTCACGCTGCCTCTCTCTTGCAGGGATGGCCTGACAGCAGAGCCCATGAAGACACACCGAGAGTGAGCAGCACCAGGACTGCCAGCTGGTCTGCCAACACCATTAAAGTGCTGTGCCCACCTGCTGCTTCTTGTTTTGGCACTGCTACCATCACCAGAGGAGGCTGGGGAACGGGACAGGGTGTTTATTGGGGCTGGGGCACTTTGCCCACAGCATGTGCTGGCCTCACTTGGCCATGTAGTACTGGGTGGGCACGAAAGGCATCTTGGTGATGACAGCAGGGTGCTGCTTCTTCCGCACCTCGACGGTGAGCTTGGTGCCGGTCCGGCTGTGCGCTGCCTCCACGTAGCCCATGGCGATGTTCTTACCCAGGCAGGGCGAGGGACATCCGCTGGTCACTGTGCCTGGGATGTGAGGATATGGGGAAGTGAGCAGGGCCTGGCCAGCTCCTGTCCATGCCATAGCCACAGCTCAGGGTCGTGCTCATTCCATCCCCACTGCTCCCACCTACCCACAGGCCTGCCTTCGGGGCTCAGGATGGCCATGTGGGGCCGGATGGCGGGTCCCACCGACGTCAGCCCCACCCGCTTGCGCCTTGGCTTCTCTTTCACTTGTGCCATGATGACAGCAGCACCAGGGAAATCCATGGCCACGCGCCGGCGCTTCCCTGCACGGCAGAGGTGCGTGAGGGTTGGTGATGCCTGAGTGGTCCCCTTGTACCCACTGAGGACACCTTGCTGCTCTGCCTGCCCCAAGGAGGAGGTGGACCTACCCAAGGTCCACATCAGCCCAGCCTCGGCAGGGGTGACAGTCTCGTCGATGTCATTGCCGTAGAGGCAGAGCCCAGCCTCCAGGCGCAGGCTGTCCCTGGCTGCCAGCCCTGCTAGCCACACATCGGGGACACCCAGGAGCTGCTCGGCCAGCTCCACCGCCCGCGCCGCAGGCACTGAGATCTATGGCAGGACACGGGCAGGGTCAGTGGGGCACAGCCTTCCCCTGCACTGGTACCGCAGTGGGGATGCCGGCGCAGTTCCCTGGGTACCTCCACACCATCCTCGCCGGTGTAACCACAGCGCGTGACCCGGCAGCCCGGCACGCCGAAGACGGTTGTGGTGATGCTATTCATAAAGGAGAGCTTGGCCAGGTCATCCGACAGCCCTGCCTGCAGAACCCGTGCCATGGAGGGACCTGGGGAGGCAGGGGACTGAAAGACAGCAGTGCCCAGGGAAGTGGGGGGGAGGTGGGGAGGGCAGTGATATTCACCGGGAGAGGACCCGGAGGAGGGCAACCCCACGGGGGGCCCCCAGTACCTTGCAGAGCCAGTAGCGCGTTGTCTGACACCTCCACGCGTACATCACTGCCGGTGGCCTGCAGCTGCGCTGCTCTGTCCTGCCAAGGTGACAGGGGGCTGCTAGCACGGGGGCTAGGCCACTGCCAGCCCCACACGTGGCTATGGCCACCTCACCCCACGCAACACGGGAGTCACCAAAAGTCAGAAGGACTCATTCCCACTGCGTGTCCCCACCTCCCACGGGGCTCAAGCAGCCCCATACCCTCAAGATGGCCAAGTCCTTGTCAGCACAGGCGGCGTTGGACACTACGTAGAGGTGATCTTCTGACGTATTTGTGACGATGAGGTCGTCCGTGATGCCGCCCTTCTCGTTGGTGAGCAGTGTCAGGGTGCCCTGCGGGACACGGCCAACGGAAGCATGGGCAGGCTGCCTGGACCCTCCCAGGGCATCCCAGGGACCTCTGATCCCACTGGATGCTCGGTGCCCGCCCAGTGCCCCGTACCTGTCCTGGCTTCAGCTCTGCGATGTCCCCCACTACCAGGCTCTCCATGAACCTGACGCGGTCCCGGCCGTACACCAGGGTCTGCAAGGGGCCGGGGGGTTGTGAGGTGATGCGGGTACCCCCCTACCCTTGGCCCCTCTTCCCGACCCCGCTACCTGCAGCATATGGGAGACGTCGAAGAGGGAGCAGTGGCGGCGCGTGTGCAGGTGTGACTGGAGGTGGCCCTGCCCGTAGTGCAGCGGAAGGGTCCAGCCAGCGAACGGCACCATCCGCCCGCCGCGGGCCCGATGCAGGGCATCCAGCGGCGTCTGCTTCAGCCCCTCCTCCCCGACCCCGGCCCCCCCGGCCCCTCTCCGCGGCGCCGAGCCCGGGGGCCGGCGGGGCAGCGCGGCGCGGCAGCCCGCCCGCAGCATCTTCCTCTTCCTCCGGCCTCCCGGCACAGCTCGGACCGGCCCCGGGGCGCCTGGGACATGGAGTCCGCCCGGCCCTGGCCCCGGCCCCCGCCCCCGGCCCGGCCCGCCCACGGCACCGCCTCCCCGGGGCCGCCGGCACGGCCATCCCCATCCCCCAGAGACAGGCGGGCACAGGCAGGGCCAACGTAGCAGCTTTTAGTGATGATCTCTCCAGCACCCCCGCACCCCTCGGTCCCCCTGCACCCCCTTTGCAGTGTCCGGGCTCTGCCCACGGGACGTGCCCAGGAGAGGCTCACGGGGGCCTCTGGAGTGGCAACACTGACCCTCACTGATAGGCAGTGCAGAGGGAGTCAGGGAAGGGGCACAGGGAGGGCTTAGGACCCCCGTGGGGTCAATGGCCGAGGCGGGAATGCAGGAGTCCATTCAGGCCCCGGGAGCACGGAAGGGGCACTTTTCCCCAGCTGGCACCAGCACCAGCGGGTTCAGGTGTAGGAAAGCAGGTTGACATCGTAGCAGCCATCCACCTGGAGAAGAGATCGACTGTCACTGCACAGCACTGCTGGGATACTCCAGCCCCATCCTGCTGGGAGCAACCCCTCTGGGCGGGCTCCTGAGCCATGTGGCAAGGCCAGGGTCCCTGTCAGCAGGGTGCTGGGACTCACATCAAAGCGCCCGATGCGGGCAGCTGCCTGGCGAGCCCGGATCACCTCTGTCAGCACCCACATTTGCTGGACCTCTGTTGACACCTTTTCCGGATCAGGGAGCTCCTGGAAAGAAGTGGGTACAATGCTGTGGAGCAGAGATGGACCGGGTGGACTGGATGACCCTGGGTTTGGACAGTGGTATGGCTGGATGGCTGTGCCTCCCAGGGAGTCAGGCACGTGATGGTGCCCACGTTCCTGACCTGCTGGTGGTTTCCCAACGTGAGGTAAGCAGGGCCCCTCTCTAGGAAAACAAACCACCGGGGACATGGGTGAGTGACCCTGATCCCTGGGTGCTGCGGTGCCGACAACAGCCCATCTCTGCTGGCAGGTGGCCAGGATGACGACAGAAAGCTGATTGCTGGCTAATGATTAAAAACCTAATCACGCAGTCCAGAGTTTCCCAACAGCCTCACTATGTGATGCTCCCTGGGCTTGGGTGCAGAATCCCACGCACGTGTGCTGGTTCACCCCAGGTGGGACCCCTGTGCTTAGCAGCAGCTCTCCTGGCTGGGGCACAACTCTCATGGGGGCACAGCTCTGTCACTGAGGGGCTGAGGGATGCCTCATGGTGATGTGGGAAGAGCCAATCTCAGAGCAACCTCTGTCATCTGCCCTGGATACTCCTTGCCAAGGGGAACATGATCGAAGCAAGCAGCAAGGGACTGGGGTGCACTACCCAAACTGTCACACAGCTGGGCAAGGATTAGGAACAGCAGCTTCACTGCTGGTGCAGTGTGAGCACCCTAGCATGGAAGCCCAGTAGCAGAACTGCCCCGGCAGGTGTGGGTGATGTGCCATCCTTCTGCAGGCAGCACCTCCAGTTGATTCAGCAGGTTCCCATGGGTGAGACAGCTCCCATCCTGGCCCTGCTCTGCCTGGACTTTGCCCACCAAAGGCCACCAGCCAGGCAGATGTGGTTGGCAATCTGTAAACACATGCTGTGGCTGTGATGCTCCTCTGCCTGCATGCTGTCCTGGATGGACATTGTGTTCCCCCAGAGCATATCCTCTGCAAAGTGCTGGGAACCAGCCCTGTCCCCACACATGTCCACCCACCCCTGAGCGATGCTGTGCACCCACTGCTCCCGCAGTGATGTCCCTGTCCCTGTTCCCACACATCCCACCTGCCACTGAAATATGTTGTGTACTCACTGCTCCCACAGGGATGTTCTTGCTCCTGTCCCCATCCCATTGCATCCCACCTGTCGGCTGAGTGACACTGTGCACCCACTTTCCCCTTGGAGATGTTCCTGTCCCCAGAGGGCAAATCGACATAAGCATCACCTCAAATAGCACATCCCCATGGAGATATTTTTCTTCTTAGCACTGCAAACTACTTCCAGCACAAGCCGGGTTATTTCAGGGCTCCACAGCTATTCCTGGTGAAAGCCTGGAGCCAACAAGGCAGGCACAGCAGCCTCCCGAGGGATGCTTATGGCTGGCACCCCACAGAAGTCCCTCCTTCCTCCAATACCTCAGCAGTCAGTGATTACTCACCCCATGCAGACTGGCTGGCTGCTCCGGAGGGGTCAGCTGGGAGAGCCAGGAGGGAAAATCCTTCTGCGGACTCTGAAACAGAATCCAGAGGGTCACACAGGGTGTTCCCAATGCTATCTCCATCCTTTACACCAGGCAGCATGCTGGAGCTTAGAGCCCACCCCTAGTGATATTGCTATAGAAGTGCCACTTTACTATCCCTAGAGAGAATTTTGTAGGGAATTCTGTGTTTTGTGTGGTTGTTGGAGCAGTCGTGGATCTCAAGTGCCCCAGCAAAGGCCAAGGACTTGAACACATATCCCTGTGTGCTCCCAAGGGCTGTAGGGGGAAATGCCGGGTATAGAGCTGGGGACAGTGGCTTGCCCTGGCCCCCTGCCCATGCCTGGCAGTGGGGTAGCTCTGGCACCTGCTCACCTTCTGTCCAGGGGGGAAAATCTGCAGGTCCTCGATGGTGAAGTGGAGCCAGACTGGGGAGGGTTGTCGCAGAATGAATCTCATTGCTGTCACCTGGTCCACGTCACACAGCATCTACATGGGAAGGGCCAGGGAGTGTAACCACAGGGGAAGTTATTGGGTTATCCTCCCAAAACCATCAAGCCACCCAAGACGGAAGAAGCCCAAGGGAAGCATTGTCCCCTGAGGGCTGGCTAGGCTGAGTGGGGCACAGGGACTCTTGCAGCCATGGGGGTCGGTGGGATATTGGCACCAGACCCCCGGACAGGGAGCCATCCTGGGGTGGGCGAAGAGCGGTGAGCCCCAGAGAGGTGGGTGATGCCATGATCCCATCCGGACATACTGACCTGGTGCCGATGGAGGCAGAAGTAGTCCTGTGAGCCCTCCTCGGTGTGTGGGCAAGGCATCAGGCACAGGTCCCGCAGGCAGGTCACCCAGCGCCGGGACCCGCTGGGGCCGGGCCGCTGCACCCGCACGCTCAGGAACGCCGTGTAGAAATTCTTGAACACGATCTCCTGCACCTGCGGGACCGGCGACCTCAGCCCCACAATGGCATTCCCTCACACCTGCACCAGCATCCGCCCCGATACCGACACCGGCATCCTCCGCCGGTACTGGGACGGGCACCGGCAATCCCCCTCCCGTACCGGGATCGGCACGCCCCCATCTCGCACTAGCACAGCCCCGCACCGGCATCCCCCACTCTACTGGGACCGGCACTGACTGCATCGGTAAGGATGGTACCCCAGCACCAGCATCCATCCGTTACCTGCACCGCCCCCGGCATCCCTTCTGCCCTGGGACCGCCCCCGATTTCTCCCCATACCGGCCCCGGCATCCGCACCCAGCCCGCCCTCGCTGCTGTCCCCGGCATCCCGCGTCCTGCCCCGACTCCCCCGGCCCTGCACCATCCCCGGCACGGCCCCTGTCTTCCCCCGGGACCACCCCGGCACAAGCCCCGCCGGTACCGCCCCCGGCATCCCCCCGTGACTGCACGGGACCACCCCAGTACCCCCCCCCCCTCCGCCGGTACCGCGGCGGGCGCGGCCGCACTCACGTCGGCGGCAGCGCCGCGGGGGAAGCGGAGGTCGATGACGGCGACGCCGGGCCGTGCGGGCTCGGCCCCCCCGGCCAGCTGG